TAACTCTGAAGAATGACTTTAGACTTGTACTATTGAAATAACTCTGAAGTAAAACTCTGAAGAATGACTTCGGACTTGTACTATTGAAATAACTCTGAAGAATGACTTCAAACTTGTACTATTGAAATAACTCTGAAATATAACTCTGAAGAATGACTCTTCAGACTTGAACTTAGAAACGAAGCTATATCAATAATTAGTTAAAATAAAGTTAACCCTAGAATAAAATTTAATTTAGAAATAAAACTATTTCAGTAAATTGAATTTAAACTTAGAAGAACGTCTGTGTCAAATCTGAAGACGAAATCTGAAAACCTTGAGTTCATAGTTACCCAATATTTTTGGAAAATACCTCATGGTAAAGTGTGCATCATACAGAGTAAGACCAACTAGAGCTCGTCTGACATCTAGAAGCCAAACCAACAGAGGGGATCTAGCTTACAAGACTAAATCTACGTCTTAAAGACTTATCTTCAAAATCTAGATAAGTCTATTACAAGACTTGTACTCTTGAAATTACTCTGAAGTAAAACTCTTCAGACTTCAGAGCTCTGTATAGGCAAGGCGGAAGCTCTGCATGCACTATGCAGAGGCTCTGCATGGTGTTCGTTTGGAAAAGAAGACTTCAGAGTTCGGGTGAGCTAACTCTGAAGAATGACTCTTCAGACTTGTACTTTGGAAATAACTCTGAAATAAAACTCTGAAGAATGACTCTTTAGACTTGTACTCTTGAAATAACTTTATAGTATAAAACCAATCCCAATAAATCAGAGTTCAAAGTTCTAAGTCTGAAAAAAAGAGTTCAGACTTCGGAGTTTGGGGGAGCTAAGTCTGAAAAAGAAGACTTCAAAATTCGGGTGAGCTAACTCTGAAGACTTCAGAATTCAGATGAGCTAACTCTAAAGAATGATTTTTCAGACTTGTACTCTTCAGAATTATAGAAGACTTCAGAGTTCAGATTTCTAAGTCTGAAAAAGAAGACTTCAAACTTTTCTTTCTAAATCTAAAAAAAAGACTTCAGAGTTCAGATTTCTAAGTCTGAAAAAAGAAGATTTCAGAGTTCAGACTCCAGAGTTCGGATGAGCTAACTCTAAAGAATGACTTCAGACTTGTTCTCTTGAAATAACTCTGAAGTAAAACTTTTCAGTAAATTGAATTTANACTCCAGAGTTCGGATGAGCTAACTCTAAAGAATGACTTCAGACTTGTTCTCTTGAAATAACTCTGAAGTAAAACTTTTCAGTAAATTGAATTTAGAATAAATTGAAGTTAACCCTAGAATAAAGTTGAATTTAGAAATGAAACTATATCAATAAATTGAATTTAAATTTAGAAGTAAACACCATTTTTTTCCGGGAATCAGTTACCACACGAATTAATTAACCAAAGAATAAAATTAATTGCATCCTAAATTAGTAGGATTGATTGAATAAGAGGACACATGTAAATCAAATGAATATAATTGAACTGTTAATGTAAATTGTGTCTAGATACGTTCAAATGAGTCTAATTGAACCATTAGGCGGGAAAATAAGATAACCGACTCACCAGAAGACGACATGTGTCACCAAAATTACTTATTTATTAGATGTATATATATATATATATATATATATATATATATATCTATACTATATTATAAATCATTTGGCTAAAACTCTTAAAACTCTTACAACTTTTAAAACTCTTAAAAACTCTTAAACCCGTTCATCCCTAAACGATTTCATCCCTATCCGATTTCATCTCATATCAGAATTCGTGTAACTAACTGCAGATAAATACAATCAAATACAGAATAAACATATCATTTTAAATATAAAAAATCTAAAATATAATTAGTATAATCATTAAATTATAACAGAATACTTAATTATTATCTTTATAAAATTTATAATATTAAACCAAAAATAAATTGTTTTATTATTAAACTTAAATTAAA